GTGCAAGTTATAAACTGACAGGAGACACTATATTGCCTCATGAGTTGGTTATCAGAGCCAAGTTTGTGGAGAAGGATAAAAGGTTTTACAAAGAGTTCAGTGGTTCTTGATATTTGAATGAATCAGCAGTCAGTGCACTTCCATAGGGATGTTGCACAGAGAGTGCTACAGCCAGTTGAACCAGCTCTTAGGATAAAGGTGAGCTTCATTTCTATAGTAGTCAAGAGTTGACATACGTCTACTACTTATTTTTGTTTTAAATGACATACATTGGGAAAATGTTATGAGATCAAATGCAAAAATGAACCCATCAGGGATCAATCATGGAAGGATTTCTTCAAAGGAAGTTTATTCACTTTAAGAAGAACCAATACTGCTTGAAGCCCACAAAATAGACAAGCAAAAGCCCCTCAAGGGTTGGTCACTAAAATTGCCTATAAGCTCCTGCAACCTATCCATACACCCAGACCCAGACTGGAGCTACAATGTCCCCCCTCTGATCAGTGTTTAAAACCAGCTCTGCTGTAACAGATAACCATAACACATCTCCATCACATTAAAAAGCAACTAGGCAGGACAATTTCTGTGTCCTCCTCCTGGACATTCCAGTTGCCCGGCTGTTCTGCCAACTGTGACTTCACCACTTCCCGAGTCGCCGAACCGTGTAGTTATGCAACAAGTGAAGTCAGAACTCCTGAACTGTAAACGTGCTCCAAGCCAGTGACTCCAAGTATTGAATCCGAGGGGATCTGCATGATTGCCACGAGGAAGGAGGTCAGCCGGGGTAGACTATGATTTTGCCTCATGCCGGATTTCCATTAAAGAAATGTCTTTTGTCAATCAGAGCCATTCGCCAAGACAAATGACCTTCCCATATCTGTTTGTGCTGTCAATAGTTCCCTTTGAGGTGATGGGTTGCACTCTTCACTACATACGCTCATGAAATGACTGCTGCATAGGCAGCTGATAAGAAATACGGACTCCACTGCAATTATACTTGTGGTAGGTAGACATATGGAGAGAG